TACCCTGATTTCCCATTTTCAATGGGTTCAGGGTATAAAAAAAAAAATAAATAAATAAATAAATAAATAAGCACACAGCATATTGGTTTTTTTAAATAAAAAAAATATATAAAAATATATAAATTAAAAAAAAAATGTATTAAATAAATATATATAAGCACATATTGACAACACAAGCATATTGATTTTTTTAAATCAAAAAAGTAAATAAATAACAATATATATATTAAAAAATAAATAAAATAAATATATATGTATGTATATTTAATAAAATTGAAATTAAATATAATTATATATTAAATATACGATTAAATATAAAATAAATAAAAAAAATTAATATATATATTTTTTTAATTACTAATTTACGCAATTCAATTCTTAATCCTACATAAAAATAAATATTCCAGCTGAAATGATTTATTTGAAGCAAATGCAAATCCAAGTACAGGGTATTTTACAGTCTGCACTCGCACTGTAAAGCCTTGCAACTCGTTTAATCAATAAGCCGTAAAGCGTCGCTAATCTGGGCAGTAATTAAATTTAATCAATATAATTATTGAATTGAGTTGGCCAAGCGAGACAGAGCCACAAATCGCGCCTTGGCGCCTTCTATTCAGCTGAATGCGAACTATCGCATCGACATATCGAACTTGCTCAATTCGTTTAGCCACATGGGGCGTTCACTTATCTCTGCCTAGACTGTCAAATTTTGGACACGCTGACTCGCATTTGCTTGCAACGCCCACAACAAAGCAAAGAAAAAAAAAATAATAATAAATAAATAAAAATAAAATAAAGTCAACTTTGCCGTTGAGCAGCACGAAAATGTTCTTGCATGACATATCAGAAAATTATTATTATATCTTCTGGCTGAAAGAGCACACAAGTGGTCGGCCACATGTGCTTGGCTACGATGGGAAAATTTCAGCAAAGACGTGGCTAAGAGAACTCCACTGAGCTGGTGGTGGAAGGCAAAACAGAATCGACTTACATAAAGTGACTTTAAAGGCGACACATTTACCGAAAGCAGCGAAAAAACCAAAGAAACCATTTCAAACAATTGTAGGCAAACAACAACAACTACAACAACTGCAACAACAATGCAGCTGATGCTGAGCCAGAGGCTAAGCTAAGCAAACAAGTTGGCCACGTCACGATCGCGATCGCACTTGAAGAGCAAACCTGTGGGGGAGCAGAAGGAGGAGAAGGTGGATGCTAGCGAGCGAACGAGGTGGGTCGAGGGGAAGCGAGTTCGATTTGAAGCCTTTTGGAGTTTAGTTGGTTAGTTGGTCAGCAGCTGAACAGAGTGGAGCACGCTTTGTCTTTGTGTGTTTTTGTCTAGCGATTGCGCAACAAATGCTGCCGCACAGTTTGAGAGTCATTGCAGTGCCATTGTTCGCATCGCTGCGGGGGCGAGACACTCGATGACTGCGTTAATTGCGGCACCTGCGCTACTCAAGCGCCCAACTGTCGACGCATGCCACAAATATGCTGGCATTCGAATCGCATGCAGCTTGATCTTAGGCCACGTCTCGCACGTCTCACGCGCTAAGTAGAACAAAGTTTTAATCTTGATTTATGCGCTGCAGCGCAAAAATATTTGGACAATGGTTCGATTGCCTATTTGCAGTCGGTTCTCGTTGAACATTTAAACGCACTTTGCATTGATTTTAATGACTTGGCTGTCTGTCTGTCTGTCTGTCTGCTATGCACTGACATTGATTTATCTGCACTCATGCAAATGGTCAGCTTTTAGAAAGGCCGTCAAAGTCATAGCGCCCAAATGTAATTCGAGTTGGCAGTTTAATCTAGCTTTTTTTTTTATCGTTGCACTACATTGCGTATGCGTAATGTGGCATTTCCTTTCAGCCGCTGCTGCTGGCAATCACTGCACATCCGTTGCATTTTCACTTGAGCTGCGTTTCCTTGGGGAAGCTCGCTATTCAATTTCAGCTTACCAAACGTAATATAAAACTCGGTCAGCAAAAGGGTCTGTTGCACATGCACTTAGAGCGTGAGATGTTTGTATCAAATTGTGGTTGACAAACAAAAAAATAAAAAATAAAAATGAAAATAAAATAAAAAATAATTTAAAAATAAATATAAAATAATGAAATATTTTTTCATTTAAATTCCGTATATACAATTATTTATTTATTATTATTATTTTTTTTTTCAAATATAATAGATTTTTATTTCGAATTTATTTATATATTAATTGTTTTTATTTTTTATTATAATTTAATTTTCACTTTGAAATTATTTATAAATTTGTTATATAATTTTTTATTTATTTATTTTTAATTTAATTTTAGTTATATTATTTTCTTATCTTTTTTAATTTAAAAATTTTTTTTTTTTTTTTCAAATAATAAAAAACTATTAAATTGCTATAAATAATAACAATCATTTTTGTTGAAAATAAAATACTTTTAAATTAATTTAAATAAAATTTATTAAAAATCGTAAAACAAAAACTATTTTTTCAGACAAAATGATATATATTTATATGAAATATTATAAAATTAAAAAAAAATTTTTTTAATTATATACTAAAGTCTGATTACGTTATTAAATCTACTCGGATTGCTCATTTAAATTGCGCCTTTGCTAGAGATGCCAGCAGAGCTGCCCACGTATTTTCGTGTGCTTTTGCCCTATCCGATTGCATCTGCGTCTAATTAAAACATTTTCGCTGGCTGCATTCTTGCACGTCTGGCCGAACGCATGCTGTCCAGTTTTGGAGGCAGCGCGTCATTCTAAGCGGCACGCCATAAATCTTCATCTGGCTGGCGCAATGCGCTGGCACCACTCTTGGGATGCTATTAGTGCGCTGGCTGTTGGCTGCCGGACTATTTGGTTGGCCAAACTACAATAATAAGGCGCTTGCTTGTCAATTAGGCACACATGAAGCCCAGCCAAATGCCAAACGGCTGCCAGCCCAATTGTGTCGCCAGCTCAATTGTGAGATAAACTAACTGCATTTGGTCACGCTGCCAGGTGCTCAGCTGCTCAGCTGCTCAGCTGCTTCACTGCTCCACTGCTCCACTGCACCACTACTCCTCCTGCTCAACTTGTCTTGCTCCTCCTCTGCCTGCTGCTGCACCTGTTGCATCTGGTCAGTTGGTTAGTGCCATTTCGGCCGCATTACCGCATACAAAAGTCGTTTGATCCAATTTCTGTTTTTGCACTGCGTCTCTCCTCCTATTTCTGCTCTTAAAAAATGTTCGCACATTTAATGCGATTTTGCGCATTTGCGCGTATGAATTAAGCGAGTGACGAAATGGACTCTGCGCTGGCTCGGCTGCCAAGTGGAGCACACATACGATGCCTGGTTGCAGCAATTGCTGCTGCTGCTGCGACGGCTGCTGCGCCTGATTGATTCCGATCGAACGCAACGGCAACGCACACGCTTCACTGCCACCAACAGCTGCAGCTGCAGCAGTCGCTCTTTGGTCAGTTCGGTTGGATTACGCAAAGCCATTCCCAGCAGCAACAAAGTAGTCTGACACATATATCAATTAGCTTTTAGATTGAAAAAGAAACCGAATATATTTGCTCATGTAAGTTAGTTTGTTTAGTATTTAAGCCAAAAATACCAATAATATTTGCTAGCTAATCAGAGCTAATCATAAATCAATATACCCTCATTTAAATATGCTACGATTGATTTTGGTATTTTTTAGTATATTTGGTAATTGATTTTGGTATTTTTTAAATAATTGATTTTTGTAGATTTTTGGGTGTCTAGCTTTCAATTAATATTGATAATTTGTTGTATGTATTTTTAAATGATAATTGACTTGTTAGTATATTTATTATTAAAATTTTTCTGTCAATTAACCCTGATGTATGTGTAGTTGTTTTTAATAATAAATCGTTTTGGTATTTTTTTGGTATTTTTTGTTTTGTTCACATGATGTGGTTCATTTTAGTATACTTTGTAGTAAATTTGTATATTCATAATATTTACGGTATTTTTAGCAGCCTAAAGAGATATACCAAATTGGGTTATTAAGAATACGAAAACCAAAAGGTGTTGCCTTTACAAATGAATTCGGTACTTTTGGTATTTTTCGGTATTTTTTGTATTTTCGTATGTTATTTCTATGCCTTGCCAAAACAGTAAGGTACTGAATATTATAATTATTTAATCTCGCTATTTCTATGCCTTGCGTTATTAATTAATCTAGCTAGGGCCATTAAGAATATGAAAACCAAAAGGTGTTGCCTTTACAAACGAATTCTGTACCTTTGGTATTTTTCGGTATTTTTGGCATTTTATTTCTACGCCTTGCCAAAGCAGTAAAGTACTGAATATTATAATTATTTAATCTAGCTATGTTCATAAGAATATGAAAACCCAAAAGGTGTTGCCTTTACAAACGCATTCTGTACTTTTGGTATTTTTTCGGTATTTTCGGTATTTTTTGGTATTTTATTTCTATGCCTTGCCATAGCAGTAAAGTACTGAATATTATAATTATTTAATCTAGCTGCTTAAAGTGCCAGATAAATTCTGTAGCCGTTAATATTTTAAAGTATTTTTATTGGTATATTCAGCAATACCAATGGATGTGAGCATTGGAAATGATTCATTTTAGATTTCTTCATATATCACACAGAAAACTTAATAGTAACAAAGCTGAGCTTATTTTTGCGATAATTTTAAATACCACAAAAATACCAAGTATTCTAATACTCTTCGCTGTCATCCTCCTCCTGCTGCTTACTATGCGTGTGAGCATCTTCGTAGCCCTCTTCGCTGCTGCCTTCGTATTCCTCATGATCGCCACCGCCTTCATTATCGCCCTCCTCCTCCTCCTCCTCCCCACCTTCGTCGCCGTCGTCACCTTGATGCTCATGAACTTTATATTGACCTTTGGCAGGCTTCTTTCGCTGCCGCTGAGGCACTTCCTCCTCCCCTTCCTCCTCCTCATGCTCTTCAGCGCCAGCCTCGTCTGCCTCATCATCCAGCTCGTTGCCCTGTTCATGCTCCACCTGCTGCTCCACATGAGCTGGCCCACCCGCCTCGCTGCCATGGCCATGCAGCCTGGCCACGCCATTGGTAATCACCTCCGCCTGGAAGCCGTTCGCATCGTCCGCCGTGTACTTGACCACGCGCAGTGTGCCATCAGGATCGACTACGCTGCGTGTTGGCGACGTTAATGATAATGCGTTGACATGCCAGACATAGCTGGCAACTGGACAACCTACCTGTACACGCCGCGCACCTCGTCCCCGTTGCGCGTCTCTTTGCGATTCTGCAGCACGCGCGCCTCGCCGTCTTCGATGCCATAGGCGAAGCTATATTCGGGTCGTGCCACATAATCCGAGTGCGTGCCGCCGCCATAGTCATCGTGCACGGTGACCAGACGCTCCGGCCCCGCCACCGGACCCTCGAATCTCGCATAGGAATAGCCCACAGCGGAGCAGCAGCCGCCGAGCGAGCAGATGATCGCCACAGCCAAAAGCAGATGAACTGGCAGCCACAACACCTGCCGTTTGACGCGTGCCGACGCAGTCGACGTAATGCGGAAGCTTAAACCGTCAAATGTTGTTGTTGTTGTTGTTGCTTTTGGTTGTTTGTTTGTGCGTTGTCGCTTCTTCATTGCAGTTTTTTGTTGATTGAATTTCAATGTTTCTCGCTCTCTCTCCTTCTCTCCCTCTCTGTCTCTCTCTCTCCTCAATTTGTTTTTGATTGGCACGCGCGTCTCGCAGCTGATTTAATCCACGCGTTTCTCTAAATACTAAGCGTGAAATATGGCACTTCTTGGCTATTTATATACTGGCCCAAGCACTGGCGAAAGGTTCAGCCTGTCTGTCACCACAAATCAATTTTTTTTTTTTTTTTTTTCATCGCCTTTGTTTGCATATTTCCGCACAAATTATGCGCTTCAATGGCCAACCGCATCCAAGTGGAACTGGCCAACTGAGACGCCTCTGTCGCTGTGGTCTCCATTTGCCCACTTGATTGCAAACTTCCTAACAAACACCTCAGCGAGTGACGTCATCAATGAAAGAGAATTGTTTGGGTAATGGGGTTGGGTATTTCACGATTGGCCAGAGTTGGTCAAGAGGCTAAAATCAAGGGCCATTTCAAGAGGGCCTCAAGTGAGAATGCATTGTTAAATGATGTGGCAATGGGGCTATGAGCTCTGTCTAGATGGGGTATATGTTCTACATATATGCTCTAGATGTTCTATATGATATACATATACGGTCTATATGCTCTTTATGTTTTATGTATGTGTTCTATATGTTTTGTATGCTCTATAATTTCTTTATCTTCTATATATATAATATATAATATTCTTATGCTCAACACAAGCTCTACTCTCCCTGTTCTCCTAACTAAATAGATATAGTACTATATACATATATTATATATAATATTCTTATGATAAACACCTCCTTTACTCTCCCTCTTCCTCTTACTAAATATCTATCCTATTATCATCTGTTAATCTACTGCAATTCGCAATTTCCGCCTTAAGAAAACAAATTCCATCTGCACTTATACAATTATTATATGCATATTTCTTATTTATATCTAATATTTGAGCATTGCGAATTTAAAGCTCATTAATTGCTTTGCATGCTTGCACACAGTTTTTTTTCGCTTCTTTTTTTTTTGCCATTTCATTTGCTTGTTAAGCTCATCTCATAATTTCAAGTGTTGCTGACCAATTTGGCTAAGAGGCTTGGGCACACCTGTTCACACACACACACACACACACTGAGAGAGAGAGATATATGTATACCTTCCCCTTGGACATGGAAATCGCTTTAAGTGCGTTCAGTTGATTAGCTGCAGCACTTGAAGCTGTAGGCGATGCTTATAATGCTTGCTTATAGATCGAACAGTTCGAGTCATGATAATCTAGCAAAAAGCAAACGCAGCTGCAATTTTATTATTATTGTTGTTGTTGCTGCTGTTGTTGGTGCAGCTTTGACCTTTTTTTGTATGAGGGTTCCGCCAAAGAAATATGGCTATTATTTTGACTACTTCTAATTTATAAGCGAGTCGCATTGTTGCCTGCTGGCCGACTGGCTGGCTGCCTGCAACTGTTGTTTGGCATGAAAAATGCATATATCATTGGCCTCTGCTACTTGACGGCTGTTTGTTTGGGCTTTAAAAAGAGAAGAAAAAAAATAAAAAAAAGCACGAGTGCACACACAGTAGCCCAGACAGCCGGGCAGGCGAGTCAAGCAGTCAGCCGGTCATCGTGGGAAAACTTGTTGTTGTTGTTGGCCGATGAGGAGTCGCTTAATTACCCATTACACAAATGCTGTTCGGGCCGCTTGGGCTGGTGCTGGCTGCAAGAATCGCTCAATGCTCATCTTTCATAGCAATTGCAAATTCGCAAGTTTTTATTGTTGTTTTTGTTTTTTATGGTAGTCGTAATTAAGACGGCAGCAGTTCGTTGCCTAAGTCTTTCGTTTTGTGCCCTTTAGCGGCCGAGTGGCACGCAGACCCGAATGAGCCAAATAATGTGCCATTGCATTATGACTTATGCTGCGGCGCCATGTTGCAATGCAAATCGTTGTCATTGCTGTTGTTGTTGTTGTTGTTGCTGTTGCTGTTGCTGTTGCTGTTCGTCTGGCATGAGGGACAACAAACAACAAACAACCAAACTGTGCAATCAAAGTCTATTAAAAGCAAAACTAAGCCACATGCCAAAAAATCATGTTTGCTGACCAAACTGTGAACGCGCTTCGCTCCAGTCCGCCAGGCAGTCAGCCAGACAAAAGGCCTAAATAGTCAGCCAGACAACGAGTAGGAGTTTTGTAGAGGCCTGGCAGCAGCAGCAGCCGGAGGAGGAGGAGGAGCAGGAGAAGTAGACAGAGTGTAGACAATGTCTGCCAGATTTCTTTCTTGCAATAAATTGCATTTTTTTTTTCTTTGCGCGCGTTGCTTTGCTCTGTTTCTATCTCTAGTGATTATGTAAGTCGAACAACGTTCCAGTCTCACTCAACAACAAGCTAAGAGCTAACGGCTAACAGCAAAGAGCTCACAGCTCACAGCTTCACCACATCTCGCATTGCCCAGTTTCCAGTTTCAATTCCCCCATTTTCACTATTAACTGCTCTGGCTTGTCTTTAGCTTTGATTTCATTTTCATTTGCCTCGTCAGCCTCTGGTCAGCTACAGCGCCAGATTGCAACAGCAGACACACACACACACACATACACATACACATATATATGTGTATATGTGAAAATGAAATTGAAATGCGAGTGCAAGTAAAAGCGGTTCCATTAGCCTCATACTTTGGTAGTTTTTGTGTGTGTTCTACGTAAGCGAAATAATAGTATTTGAAAAATTTGAAATTTTCAATTATTTAGTGCATTTTAAGCATTGATTGATTGAATAAATTTGAATGAACAAACTTTGTAGTAGCTTTAGTTGAGCTCATTCACATTGAACTCAGATCGAGTTACCTAAAGACTTCCTGAAACAGTTTTTATATACCGGAGAGTTAAGAGAATAGGTACGTACTAGAAATCTAGAGTGAAGCCTAAAATGTGGAAAACACCAAGAGAGAGGAAGAGAGTGAGAGAGAGGGAGAGAGAGAGAGAGACAGTAGAATGAGAGCGAAAGAGATAGAGGTAGAGATGGAGGTAAGGTAAGTGAGTCACTAGGAAAAGAAACAGGGATAAAGCGAAGAAGCGAAGAAGACATAGAGAAGGAGCGAGAAAGACGTAGACAAAAAGAGAGAGAGGGAGATCAAGAGAGTGAAAGGGATCTAGGGAGTGAATGAGACTTAGAGAGTGAGCAAGTTCTTGAGAGTGAGAGAGAGAGATCGAACGGGAGAGGGGATCTAGACAGATAGATAGGTAGAGAGGGAGAGAGAAATCTAGAGTGATCGAAAGAGGGAGAGAGGAAGATTTAGAAGAGAGAGTGTGAGAAAAAGAGAGTAAGATGTAGAGAGAGATAGAAGGAGAGGAGTGAGGGAAATTTGGAGTAAGATTGGGAATAAAAAATGGAAAAAAGGGCAGCAACTCAAGGTCAAATTTGTGTCAGACAGAGAAAGAGACAGCCTCAAACAGCTGCACGTTAAATTTATTTAATACTTAAAATAATTAGCTCACAAATTCCCCAACCCAATAGCCTAAAGCTGAAATATCTGTCAAGATATCAGAATTCAAACAAAGTAGATCTCTTTCAATATTTTTGAGCATGCGTAACTCAATGTCACAACGCATTGCGTGAGCAAAGCCATAGCTATTCATAGGCAGCAATTGCTGCCGTTGCTGCTGGCGACTGCTTGCAACAGTTGCTGCTGTCAGCTGTGGCACAGCAGCAACATTTGCTGTCCAGTTGTGGCGAGCGTGTTACAATGTGCGAAAACAAATGCGCGTATTTCAATTTTGACAATGCACAAAATGCGTGTCACATAAATTGACGCAATGTGAGCCATGCAGCGCTATCAAGTGCACCTACACACGCACACACAAGGAGTGAGTGGTGTCGAGGTGCCAATTAAAGCGAGTCCACAAAAATGGAACAGAACCGGAGTCAAACAGACGCGAAGCGATTTAATGCGATACGATTTCGATTCTTGGCGGCATGTTTAATGCACCTTTGACATGCAACCAAGCCGAGGTCCATGCTGAGTCGGCATAGTTTACACACAGCAACGACAACAACAACAACAACGACAACTGCAGCGGGTTTTTTTTTGTTTGTCGTTGTTCAATATAAAATAGTGCAGAAATTACGAAATTTGTCGTCTGACAAAAAGCGCTGCAAGCGCTATAAATTAAATTTACAATTTTGGTGCTCATTAAACGGCGAATGTTTGTTGCGGAGGCGGGCAATGCGGGGTATATTGGTTGGAGAGGAGAAGAAGTAAAAATGCTGAAAACAAAAGAAACTAAAATTGGGATCAAAGAAATGAAGAAGAAAGAGGAGAGATGAGAGATTAAGATCGATAAATGGATGGAAATAGATATACGGAGGGGCTGCGAAAGAGAAAGAAGAGCACAGAGACTAAGAGAAAGAGAAAGAGAGACAGAAAGAGAGTAGAAAATAAGTGAGAAGTATGAGAACATTAAGAGTGAGAAGGAAATCGGCTATAGATGAAAAAGAGCCGAATTTTATAGAGAAAGGCAGAGCCTATGAGAAAGAAAAAGAAAAATACTTAGGCATTCATAAATAGGTAGAAAAAATACTAAAATACTAAACTCTTCCAGAAAGCATAGACAAAGCAATATACCCCTTGAAATTAAAATGCCTCAGTTACACAATCGAAAGCCTAGACTGAAGCTCATGCTGAGTATCCTGTAGTCGTGCTTGGGCCCAATTGCATTGGGCTGTTACCGAAATCGAGAACTGCAACGCCTTGGGATTTAGCCAAAGTAAATGCTTTTAATTGTTGTCAATTTGGGGTCGCTTTAAGTCGGCTTTGCTTTTGTTATTTTTATGGCCGTTAAATTTTCTCGCGTCTGTCACAAATTGAATAATGTCTCAATTGAACAACAAACGAGGCAGCAGCAGCAGCAACAGCAACAATTCAGACAACAACAACAACAACAGCAGCTCAAACAACATTGTTTGCAGTTGTTTGCAAAGTTCAACTAATTATGAGCTAAGCAAAAAGCATTAAAAGCGACAAGAGATTTTTTTGTATTAAAGCATTTAGGCAGAGTCTATTATATAAGCGTGCAATTTGATAAACTTATACGAGCATATACATATATACACATACATATGTATGTACATCCTGTCAGCTGTGGCGCTAGAAAGTGAAAGGCAAGCATGCAACGCCCACTTGGCACTTGGATACACACAAAGATACATCTATATATGCATATATATAAATATAACTCTATATATATATATAGTTTACTGCAACTAGATTTTTATATAATTGTAACTATTTTCTGCCTTTTGACTAATTTGCCTGCGTTTGTTGTTGGCTAGCCAAAAACGAAAGACTTGAACAACGAACTGCAACGACGAACTAAACTAAGCTTTAACCGGTAGCCAGAGACAGAGCTAGAGCCAGAGCTAGAGCCAGAGCTAGAGCCAGAGCTAGAGCCAGAGCTAGAGCCAGCCTCTGGCTATCTGACAATCGCACCACTGACCAACATTTTGACTCTCGCTGCGCAACAGACATATGCACGTATATGTGTGCATGTGTGCTCTTATATATGGGTCAGCTGGCATATGTCGTGCCACGTAGACATCTGATAAACTAGGCTGGCAAAATGCAATTTTAATTGCCAATCGTCAATGAGTGCGCGAAAAGTTTGCAGCTGAAGAATTGTATATATGCTGTGATAATCGACAAATCAGTTTGATATTGAGAGCTAATTTAATATGTGACCAGAAATAGATTTGCCATGAATTACGCTTGAGTCTAATGCAAGTACAAGTCTATTCAAAGTACCATAAATAAATATTTTATAAAGAGTATGAGTATACGAACTATAAAGAACACTATAAAGTCCAAGCCACAATCTACATATGCAGATCTTTTATTTTAGACAACATTTTTACTATATATTTTATTATTTTACTAATGTATATCAGCTCAATAGAGTTGCTCCACCTGAGTTCTATAAATATTTCACTCTATTCAACTCTATTAGTCTTACCCAACTCGCCTGCCTTTAGCCAAGAATTTGTGTATGAGCTGCACCTATTCAGAACGACGATAATTATGCGTAGTCAACTTTCCGAGCCGAACGAGCCCCAAGAGCTCTGCCCACGCCGCAGATTTTCATTTTCAATGTTCAATAACTTAATTAAAGCTTCAATTTGCATGCAAATTGTAAATTGCAAATATATCTTTGTGTACGCAATTTTGATAGATCGATGCGATAATAACCAAAGCAATTAAATAAATAAAGGATAGCCAAAAGGCAAGCGAGCAAACGCTTAATAACAACGCAATTAACTGGTTGACTTATAAGTGCTTCCATTATAACGAAGAACAAATAATTGGCGTTGATTAAAGCAACAGTTTAATTGACATTTAAGGCGATTCATTACTTAACTAACTCTAAAACGAAAAAAAAGAAGAAAAAACAAACAAAATAAAATAAAAGAGAAGTAGAGAAATATAAGACAAGAGATATGCGAGTTAATAACGTCTGCGGGGGCTGCTTTTTTCGTAGTCGAATTTGGGCACAACGCTGTCTTAAAATACCAAATCGAATCGGAGCCAAAAAAAGCATTGGCTAATTGCATCGACTGCATGCAGCAGCAGCCGCAGCCGCAGCAGCACCAACTTTTCGTGGAAATTCAGTTTTCACATGCTCGACTTTGGTTTTGTACTAAAAATTTACATACGTATTCAAATGTGTTGATATCTGTATGCCTGTGTGTGTGTGCGCGCGGCGCCACAATTCTCAGGCTCGAATGGACATTGGGGCACTTGTTTTTAGCGGCAATTAATGTTAGTTGCAAACGGGCTGCATAAATCAGCCTAATTGCTATATTTAAATTCTAAATTTGGTTGAGTTTTTCTTCTTTTCATTTTTGCTGGTTGTTTGTGCACGACATTAGCTTCCATGTTTTTCTTGACATGTAATATATGCATAGGTTTAGTTCTGCTGGCAGGCAACAGGTGGTCCGATATTAATTTGCATTTTATGTTTATTAAATAGTTTTGCTGAGACTCCGAGTGTGAGTGCATAGAATACCAGTTTGAAATTGCGCGCGCTTATTTGACGATGGTCTGTTATTGTTAACAGTGCTGTAAAGTGTGGCTGTTCAGAGCCGCCACAATTCGAGCGGATTTGCAGCAACAGCATGTTAATTTTAATTTATTAATTATGAAGTAAATAAATATCATGAACAATGAATGCATTGATAATAAAATGCAACCTTACACATTATTAATCTCGAGTTTAAATAAGTTATTTATTTCCATATAATTTGTAGAGCTGCATACATGCCTTCAACCTATCGATAAGTCGATGACTTGTACCTATCGCTCAGAAACCGGCTAGCAATTTCTGCAAAAGATTTTTGTTTACATTTAACAAAGATGTCATTATCGCCAAACAATTGTGATACCGTAATGCAAACTGATGAGATTGATGTAAACGATGAAGTTGCGAGCCATTCAACTGGCAATGAAACAGAGAAACATGCTTCAACAGTGAAAATAGCGCAAGACGCAGTTTACGATGCAGACAGCGAAATGGTAGAATCAGCTGAAGAGGAAGACGACAAAGCGCTAAAGCAAGAGCCGTGCACAGATGATGATAAATCCACAGTAATTGCACCAATCAGACGTCCGCCAAACGAACCCATATCTAAGCACAATTTAAAATGGAATCTGCGCGTCATCATCTCAAATTTGTATATGAAGAGCGAACGGCGATTGCCGAGTGCTTGTGTGCCCAAATGCCTGCACAATACGAGCCAATGCGTCAGCCGACATCGCTGTGCCATGCTGCCCGATGCACCCGATATTGGTATAGCTCAAGAGCTGCGCAATAATCTCTATAGGCAGCATTATGATACGTATTTGGATATGTTGGAAACGATGGCGCTGCAGTCAGTTTATCCAGATGAAGCGGTGTTCGATCGACTCCTCGATATGATTATGGTATGTCAATTGTCAAGAGATTTTTCTTACGTTAATTCTCTTTACTTCTAGGTACTCAGCACAAAGAGTTTGACCCTCGAAGAGCTGAACGGCATATATAGAAATGTTATACGGATCTATTATTTGCTAGTGGATGCATTTCCTCCCTGTTGGACCGCATTGCGTCCATATTATTTAAATTTCCTGGGAGCTACGAGCGACAATCCACAGAAGCTGCAGCTGCTATTGGATTTATTTGAGGATTGCCTAGGCAAATGCAGCGAAACAGAATTGTGCCAGCTAACGCCCTACTCCGAGCAATTCGTTCATGACTATGAGGCTGAGGATAGTTCAAAATTAAGCCCCGATGATATATTTGAGCGCCATGTCCAGGACTACGACTGGCAGAGCGGCAAGCAGTGGGTGGACGAGTTTAAGGCCATGTCCTCAGCTGTGCAGCTGGCGCGTCTCTGCGATGCTTTGGACATGATTTGCTGGGTATTGGAACGGGAATTCTTAGCGTGGCTAGATCATAATCGTCTGCAGCAATCGGAGCCCGAGATCTTTCAAGAGGACTCCAAGCCATTTGTGTTCATCGTCTTTGGCATAGAGAAGGACAAGAGATTAACGAAGTTAACCCAGCAGTTGCTGCGTGTGTATAGTCGTGCAGCAGCTAAGTCCTTGTATGCCGATCGTTTAAGTATTCTAGAGGTAGGTGTACCACATATATTATGTACAGGAATGACATTAACTAAAGTTTCTTGTATGATTTCATCATTGCAGCGCTTTATCTCGCTGCTCATGGAGGCAAGTAACACAGCAGAGCTGGAGTATGCCAACAATTCGTTAATATATCCCAATTTGGGTCCTCAGACACGCTGCCTCATAGCGGAGTTCTTTAAATTATTCAAAGTAGAAAATCCCTCGGATCTCACCACTTATATACGCATCATTTCGCAGCTGAGTCAGCCCTATGTGCGTTGGGAATTTGCGGACAATTTTCTGAGATTATTCTACTATTCCGATGCAGCATTTGGGCCGGAAAAGCTGTGCGAGGAACTGAAGCTAAAGCGTTGGCTCAAGTACAGGCCACGCAGCACCATCGATGAGGCAGACAACGAACAGCTCTCTAGAGAGGATTACCTTAAGATCATGCTCAATGCGCTGCAGGATTATTGCAACTGGTTTGATTTGCAAGCCTGTTGGAAGTACATAAAAACCAAAACACCTGTCCAGCAGCTGCAGGCGAGAACAAGCAGTCCGCTGGCCACGCCCGCGGGTCTGGTTACTGACGATGTTGGCAAAATCTTTATGCTCGATGAGATGCAGAAGGAGGCGCACACTTGGAAGCAGCGTATCAACGCAAAAGTGATTTTGGCCAGGCCCAAGGTGAATCTCCCAGTGGCTAGGATCAGCATAAGCACAATGGCTGAGCGTTATGGAAACGATATACGACAACTGCGATATCTGCGACGCATTCTGCTAGAAGTAATGCGTTTTGAGGATGTCACCGATTGGCTGAACTATATTAACGATTTTCTGGGCGAAGATGAGCCAGTTGTTTCGTCTTAATGCTGCAGCAGTATGTGGCCACAATTTCAAGTGATAGCTGTAAACTAAAGGTATTTGTTACTACAATAATACAAAGAAGTGAATTTGATATATATTTTAATACAAATAAAAAAAAAAAAAACAAGATATGAATTTTTGAAAAACTATTGCCATAAGCAAAAATTTAACTTTATAACGTAACGTAAGCATAAATGGACTAACGTAAAAACTCAAACGAGCTAGAAGCGCCAAAGTTGTAAGAGAAATGAACTACGTAAGCGCAGTGGGAGGAACGTAAGCGCAAATTCGCTCAACATGCGCAAAAGCTCCACCGTTTAACAGAGAAGGCAGTCATTTAACAGAGTAACTCCAATGCAGGATATTATCCTGCGGACGTAGAAAAAAATACTTTTAGTTGATTTTAGCAGCACAACCCCGTCGCCAGCAGCAGCAGGAGCAGCAATTGCTTGCCGTCGCGACAAATACGCAAAATTAAATATTGTGTTATTCTAAAAAAAAAAAATAAAAATAAAGTAAAAATAAATAAAAACTACAAATCGAGTGTAACATCAAAATTCTGCGTAAAATAGCAACAGCAGAACAACAACAACAACAGCAAGAAAATGTGCGGTGTGTGTGTGTAACAGCAACAGCAATAACAACAACGAACCGTTGTGAGCACAGTGGTTAAAGAAATAAGAAAAACATAAAGAAGAAGACGCAAAGGGGCAACAACAGCAGCAAAGCCAAAGAAAGCGCAATCAAAATGTCGACAACAGTGGAACAGGTGAGTAAAAAGAAGACGCAACGTAACTTGAGTAAATTTATGTAATTTTATATTTTCTTTGTATTTCTTTTTGTTATTTTTGTTTGTGTGCGGAGAGTCAATCAGTCAGTGCGGCAATGTTACGGTATTTTTAACGGTAGCCATTGCCGACAACTGCGTAACATTCAGTGTCAGTGCCGACTAGCTGTCTGCCTGTCGCTCTGTCTTTCTGTCTCTCTGTCTGGCTGGCTAGCTCTTTGTCTGTGACTGTGTGTGTGCGTGTACGTGTACGTGTGTAGGTGTAACCAACTTACGCTCGCTCTCTCTCTCTCTCTCTCCCTTTATGATTCTCTTTGTGTGCATGTGTATGTATGTGTTTGTGTATTGGCATGCGGCTGACTGTTTTGCATTGCCATGCCAACGGCGACGCTGGCACTTCCTGTTTGGCTGATATTGCCTCGATTTGACAGCGAAATTCGATTAATTTCTAATCTGTACATCAGCTTGGGCAAGTGCCACAGCCAGACTGAGACTCAGACTCAGACTTACTCGCTCACTTTCATACGTATTCAGCGACAAATATAAATAGCTGTCATTTTGTCAGCGAATTGAAATTCAAACACGCATACACACGCACACACACTCACTCAGTCACACGCGCTAGACGCGACACTGCATGCAAATTCCGTTTGCATTTACAGTGAGGGCTCGCATATGAAGTCCAAATACCTTTAGCCGGCTTAAACTTTTGCAGTTTCCAACTATTTGAGAAGTTTACTTTCCAAACAGTTTTTATACTCATTTTTAATAACGTGCGTGCATAAAAAGTTGTATGATATATCAAAAAATCCTTGCTCTGAGCTTGTTGTTGCTTAATATAGCTTTTGTTTTATGATTCAATGCGGACATATTTTATGGCAAAGTACACTTAAAATTTATGTTTTTATTTACTAGTAAAGGATATGCCCTTCAAATTGCACTTAAATGGGGTTTTTGACTAAAAACAAAAGGTTTTTGTGCTTTAAAGCGACTAAATTATATAGACATGGACATATTTAATATGCATTCTGTACACTTGAACCACTTTATACTGACTGACTGCTCTATCAACCATTGTTCTCTCAATGATGACCTCACTGTACTTTGAATCAATCGTGCATTTGCATTTGCTTGTCTGCGATTTGACATTTTGTTACAGCAACCCGTCTAGCTGGCCCCATTTGGCATCCCCCAACCCACGCATACCCTATTTCCATATTTCAGTTTAATAAAAAGGCATTCACGACACAAGTTTTCACTTTGCGTGGCTTTAATTCTCTAATTGTATCTTAATTTTATGTAAATGTTGTCCCAGCTTCAACTGGCAGTTGGCTTATGTGGCATTTTCCTTTTCTTCTTCTTCAGCTACTTCTTCTTCTTCTTGTTCGCTTTTATGTGACGCGTAAGATTCTTGCCTTGAAAGTCAGAGAAAAACTTTTGTTGCATATTTCTGGCGCGCATGTAGCGCGAGTCATTACGTTTTATAGACTTTATAAGAACTTCGCTGATGCAGTTTGGTCAAAAGTTTTTGCTGAGCTGCGTCGCGCTGCCAGGTGACTGCTCCTATATATAATAAATATATATATATTAACACATATATATGTATGTATGTGTATGTAACTGATGAGCTTAACGAACGGAAGGCAACTTCCTCTTTCGACATTAAAGTTGAGCGAAAAGAACAACATTTTGAAGCGTTTATGGCCAACGCTGTCTTATCCTGGCTTTTAATATAATTTCAGTTCGCTTTTGCTCTGGCTTGAGTCTGGTCAAACAGAAAAACAAGCTGGGAAATAAATCCCCTCATCTCCCATCTCATTCCATTAAATTGCTTATATTGTTTACCACAAGGCTAAGCTAATAAGCAAACGAACTTTTCTCACATTTTGTTTAAGATTTAGTTTTCATTTAATTATCTAATTGGTTAGGTTTTTTGTATTTAAATAGAACTCAGCTCAGCCTTGGTAGCAGCTTAACATGCCTTTTGTAAGCGTTTCTTGCGAGTGAAAAGTTTTGAGATTTAGCTCAAATTTATTTAAATGTTCAGTCTGAGTTCAGCTGAAAAGTATGCTATACTTTTTTCTGCTACAATAAAACTAGGAAAACTCGTTTGATTTGCATATGCCTTTTGTATATACTGGATGTGTTTCATTTAAAATGAATATTTAATTCTGTGGAGTGTTTTCGCGAAGTGAATATATACTTTGTATATATCTATCCTATCTATGGTTGTTCTGGATAAACAGAAGCTCTCTCATAGTATGTTGTTCTGCTCATGCTTATCCTTGAACGCTTAGAAGAAACAAATCTTATTAAGTTATATATGCAACTTTATTAATATACGACTATATACATACATATTTTTATATATATTTAATATCTAAAGTTTTTATACAAGGAACTAGACTTTTCTCTGTTGCTGTAAGATATAATTTACTAAGACTTGAAAGTTCTAACTGCCTTACATCAATATTAAACTAATATTTGATCAAATGGAAACATAAGGATGGAAATATACATTATTAAAATAAAGATTTACTCTTAAGACTTATTTTTGAAAGATTTTCTCTAGCTTACGCATTCGCTCGGTCTTCCATATTCCCTCTCTATATTCACTTATAATTAAGTCTTTATCTTATCAATATCCAACCACCTTATACCTTTAACAATATATACATATATGTGTTTATATATAGCTCTTCCAATGAAATTTATTGCTTGCTTGCATGGTTAACTAAGAAAATAATTGGAATGCCTATGAATTATGGACATCATGTTTTATGTATAGCATATAGCAAGCCGATTTGTAACGGTGCATGGGCTAACTAACGAAGCGCACACACACACACACACGCACACACACACACACACGTACACAAGCACACTCGAATGTCTTGTTGTTGTAGCTGTGGCTGTTACGTGCGAAGCTTCCTGCTTTTTGTGCAGCATTGTAGCTCGAGCATAAATTACAACTTCAGAGGTTAGCAACACTCACAAATACACACTCACACACACAACAGATGCGTATTTATGCTGTGGGTAGCTGCTTGGCTGTCAGTGTCGCCGGCTGCCACTGCTTACATAATGTTAATGATGCTGCCCTGCTGTCCCGTCCAGCCCAGTGCCGGGGCTCATTTCATGTTCTGTGTGCAAAAAACATTAAAAAAATAAAGTAACACAAATACAAAAGTAAATGTCAAACAATATGCAGCTGCTGCTGCGACACGTGACACGAGGCGTGGGCATGACCTGCGGATGTGCACAATGGACGCACTGCATCCTTTACTAAATTGTTTTCCCCTGTTGATGTTGTTGTTGTTGTTGTTGCATATTATTTCAATTTGGCGGCATAATAAAGTGCTTCCGTTGTGAGTCGCCTGGCAACGTGTATGCAACGCCTCAGCTGCAGCATCCCCAAGGATAATGCCATTCAAGCTTGGCTTCGTTATGCTTGTTTGTCCTGATGCACACATGCGGCGTCATGGGACAGTGCTATGTATTCCTGCCTTGACACGCTCACACACACACACACACGCACACACGCACGCACACAGCTGCAAAGTTCATGGCCCCCGCATTCAGCTCCGGCAATTGGCATTAAGTGACCGCCAAACGTGTCATTTGAGCTGCTCGAGCGGCGTCGCCTCTGCCCTGGCCAAGGTCAAATTTAACTGTTTTGATTTAATTTATTGTTGCATACATTTGAGCGCTCATAAAACGCCAAATACACCACAGACTAGCAGACACCTGCTCCAGCTCCCAGCGCATTGCTTCTGCTTCCTTTCCCGTTTTTCTTCTTTTTTTTTTCTTTTTCTCTTCTTTTTTTCAGCGGCTAGCAAAGCCAATATTTTGCTTGTCTGCCTCTGTTTATCTTTGTCTTTGTCTCTGAGCGTGTGCATGTGTTTGTGTGTGTGTGTGTGTGTGTATTTTGATTGCTTTTGCTCACACTCTTGGCACAACACCCCATTATACACACACACACACACACACACAGTCATCCACACCCACACAGTCAAGAGGTGACTCAATGTCTTGCTCATTTCCTTCGAATGGACGAAACGAAACTATATTCAGCATTTCTTTATGCTCGGCTGTCCGTGTGTGTCTGTGTGTGTGTGTCTGTGTGGGTAAGATTCTTTGTGGCATAAATAGGGGCTTTCTGCTGCCATATCATACATACATACACACATACATATACATTTATATATGTGTATTTGTAGCGAACTTTAAATGACTTTCCTTTTGCCCATTCGTAAAAGGCTTGTAAATTGCTTTTACATTGGTTTCTTGTTAGCTTTATCTCCGTCTCATACCTGACCAAATACATATATTTCTTTGTCTTCTTCTTCTATTTTTTTTGCCAACTTTATTTTGCCTTGAAAATTAACTGAAAAGTTTTATTTTTATAACCGTAGCAAAATCTGTGCTAAGCAGACAACTTTAAGAAACCTTTCAAAATGGCTTCCAATCAATATTTTTGTTTTACACAGAGTTACATATAAACTAGAGAGCTTTTATTATAACTCTTGCTGCAGCTCTAGCAAATTTTTACTAGCTCACAGCTGAGTAAATAGATTTTTTTTTTTATTGCTTGCTATAATTAACTTGATTGTGGGCTGCAATTAGTAGGGTAGCTTAGACTAGCTGAGTCGCTGCTCTGGCTTATGGAGAATTTTAGCTTGATAGTGCTTAAATTAGTTAGAGCTAGGAATAGGTTTCAGTCAACTTTAAGTTACTCAAAATTATAATATTACAGAGCTTTATTTAAACTTAATGGATTAATTTTTATTTTACAGCTTTTGCAGAGTATTCAATAGTCGAGTTTGTATGCTTTATGTCATTTGCGGATCTTTAAACCTAACACAGCTTCAATTACACTTTTACAGTTCCTTTTGCTCACCTACAATCCCCGCCATTACTGGGTATTCCTCAGTCGTGCCTATCGCCGCCTTAAAGCTTCATTAGTTGATTTTCCTTTTGCT